TGAGATTTGAACAGCCAAACTGCAGAACTGCAGTCAGCTGAAGTAGCCTGCAGTGCTGCATTTAACCACTGCGCCACCTCGGCTCATATGTGGGTAGCTGCCAATTTCTCAACAATTGTAACCTGCGATTGCCTGCATGAAATGATTATTATTTTTTTAATTGGAGCGCAGTATACAAGACTTCAACACTTCGGTTTCAAAGAGAGAAAAAGAGAAAAAGAGAGGTTTCGGTGATATTGCTACTTGACAGATGCTGCATAATGCTGTAGGAACCAAACCAGCATGTAGTCTGGTGCTCTTCAAATCACCATCTGAAGGAGGAATCCCATTGCCTTTTTCCAGACTTACTGCGCAGTTTCCTCTGCCATTCCATTTCATTGTGGAGAAAGGATGACTGCTCAAAAAAGTCACTGACTTTACTGCCCTGCTCATCCTGCTCTGTAGTGGTAAATAGACGGTTTTTTGTCTCTTTGGTCAGGAACTGGCAGATGCTAGGCACTGGAAAGATAATCTGTTCCATACTTCGATCCAAGCGTACAATCTAGAGAAAAATTGAGTTTTAAGTTATATTTCTCCTGCAATTCTTAGATTTAAAAATTTTGCAAATGACCTACATGTCTAACCAAGTCCATTCTGATGGTTCGGTATGTTCATGCTCACTATTATATTGCAGTATCTGTTGCTAGCCACTGTGGCAATATTATCCTACGCTCTAGTGCAAAGCCTTAGGGACATAGTATTCTCGCTTAATTTCTTGGAAATTCTGTCAGATAAATCATTTGTCTATAATTATGTTATCATTCGACATTAAAGATCTAAGTTAACATCTCAAGATGCATCTTGTGTCTAGAGTTTTTGAATAACTGTCTAGTCCCCTGATGGTGAACTCATGGCACGTGTGCCCACAGGTGGCACCAGAGGCATCTCTGCTGGCATGAGAGCCATCGCACAGCTCAGCTCCACTGCGCATGCGTGCATGCCTCCCACCAACCAGCTGATCTCTGCCGCTGGCCAGCCGGTCTCTGCCAGGCTTGCGGGAGATGCACGTGCATGTGCGGGAATTCGGGCAGCATTGGGGGGGGGGGTCCCCCACTGCCCTGTTTTTGGTCCCAAAAGGTTTCAGGGTGGCCTGCTAGACCCAAAATGGGACGTAGGGGGTCATGCATGCATGCATGGGAGCGTATTGCATTATGGGTGTGAGCACACATACATGCACTGTCACACACAAACACGATTTCAGCACGCAAGGACAAAAAGGTTAGCCATTACTAGTCTTGGCCTGTTAAGGGCTGGATGAGGGATAATAAAAAATGAAACAGGCCATAATTCTAAAGTAGTCGCAGGCCTGCCTATTGTGAATACAGTTACATTCTCCTACAAAAAGTATTTGGAAATTCTTCTCAATTGAATCTCTTTCTGATTTTCCAGACTGAGGCAACAGCAATCATCTTTGGCTGATATGCCAACTGTATGCTTTTCTGAAAGCTACCGAATGATCTTAAAACTGTAGTTCTCATGCTGATAACTTCACTCTTGTAATGTACCTTTTGTAGGGCTGCCTTTCAGAAACTTTAGTCAATGCAAAGCTCAGAAGCCAGACTGATCTTGGGAGATTATCAAATGAAATAGGCCATTTACACATTCTTAAAAATGCTGCATTGTCAATTCTTTTCCAGGCAAAATACAAAGTGCTAGACATTATTTTTAAAGCCCTTGACAGCTTAAGTTCAGCCCTTTTAAGACAATTCCTCTTTCTGTATTCATCCTTCACATGAATATCATCCAAGAAAGTTTGCCTTAGTTCAACTGGTACAACTTTTTCTATTTGTGCCCCAGGACATTGAGTTTACTCCCTGAAGTTATTCTGAGATGCATTAGAAGGGGAATATGGAGTTTAAGAGAAAATAACTGAGAAGAAAGAAATGAGGACTTTATAAGCAGTGAAAAGATAAAAGTCCTGCAAAAGTGTTAATGTAATATGACCTTACACAGGTCGGAATCAATTTCTTCAGTTAATGGAGATTGCGATGCTGAAATTAATATTCTGTACCTGGTATGAAAAGATAATATGGTTCTTGGCCACCAACAAATGCAGAATTTAGAATTCCCAAATATAAGTTGACAACATCTCTGCAAACAATAGTTCACTTTAATTCTGTACTGCACTTATATTCTGTGATATTGCAAGAGCCAAGCAAATGGTGGACAGAATTGCTACAGAAAAGCTGTTTGTTAAACTCCATTGATAGGTTGACTAGCTACATGTTATTAGATAAGGGAAGTTGACATTATATATAATTTCAGTAATCTTAAAAGTAAATCAGGCTTCTAGACATTAAAAAAACCTAATTATATATAGAGCAAGTTCTGGGAAAGTGAACTTCACCTCTATCTGGGATGTGTGTTTCTCATAATAAGCTAATGGGTCTTCCTCTTCCTCTTGGACAGGAGTTGTCGACTTCAGCATCTGAGTCAGTTGCTTGTTGTGCAAAATAAGCTGCAAGAAAGCAAAGGAAAAATCATTTATATTTATAATTTATAGTAACTCAGAAATCAATTTAAAAACCCCAGGGGAATTGTTTTCAATTATAATTAACAGTACATTTTCTCATATTTACTAAAATTGAAAGGCTTTGGGGGAAGACTGGAGAAAAATATAGTTAATAAAGAGCAAACAGAGCTTGTGCTTCCTGTGGGAGACAGCTCTTCAATTTGTCACAGTAATTAAAGCCAAAGAGTAATAATCTGTAAAGTATAAATCATGAATCCCAAAAGAAATGGATTTACAATGAGTAGTGATCATGGTCTTGGACCTAAGCTATGTGAACAACAGACTGAACACAAAGCAATTGATTTTCTATCTCTGAAGATAAAGGGTGAGTTAGTTTAATTATAGGGATGTTTCTACATGAAGTCATATCCAAAGAAGCAAGTAAGTGCTGTGCCCCATGAAAGTGATACAAGAATGCAAAAGTATTCAGTAAAGCCATCAATATAAGAGTTTTGTCGCTCTTCTGATCTAGTATAACATAGCATCCATATTGGAGTCACTAGAGTATGACTTCACTCATATTATAAACAAGAGCCTTTCATGAAAGATTGCCCCTACTTAAATACTGATGACAACGGAAATATACAGGAAGAATTCATCACAGACCTGCATGTTCCATTGTAGCAAATAATATGGCACTGTTGTAAGAGAAAGAAGCCAAGATCACGGTTGCTTTCACATAGAGATAGGATCCATTTTTCTTATTAGAAAGGAAAATTGCCAATACTTAAGAGGCAAGTCAAAGTGAATTATAGGGTCATCGGCAGCCCCACTAATCACTAATAAAGATAGCTCTAAATGATCCAGTTCATGGTTTTCCTTGTTTTATTGCCTCCTCTCTAGAAACTACAGTTGATTCAGAACCAATAAAATTCAACTTTCACCCTTCCCCCTTAACTAATATCCTTTGACTCCCAAGATCCAAGCTTTAGAAAAATTCCAAAACGTTCTATGGAAGGGATAATTTTATCTACTGTATTATCTAGTGTAATATTATACTGTGCTATAATAGAAGAAAGAAATGAAGCCTGACTGAATGTTTCAAGAAAATTAATGCTTTTAGATCTGAGGCTAAGTTTTCAGAACTGCTTTGCCCATCCACTTTCTTCCAACCACTAGAGAGACAGAACCAATTCTCCTCTCATCTCTTCTTTGCCTTAAATTGCAAGTGCAATTTTATTCTATTATGTTACTATTTGCCTCAGCTACTAATTGTACAATTCATGATCTATTTCATATAGCGTCCCTCCAGTCCTATTCTCATAACTGACTTAATCCATACCTTTAAAAAAAAGTAGGCCTCTAACAGATATAACTACATCACATTATATGAAATAGCAAAACCATAGAAACAAATAATCACAAAAAGTGTCACAAATTGTCATCTAGCTCCATAAATAATGCAATTTTGTCATGTCCCTATAGTGTATTTGAACACTATCTAAACCCTATTTCCTTCCTCTTTGTCTATTTTCCCCAAAGTCCCTACCTCTTTTTCTATACTCTCTTTTTCCTCAATATACCACTCATTCTGCTGTCAGTATTATTATTGCAGGTGATCAAACAGTCAGCCAGATGTTTAGAGTGAATTTGATATTTTTATCCATTTAGTTCTTCTCAATTGGGATAGACTGAAGTTGTTATTTGATGATGTTAAAAGTATCATCTTATTATTTAAATTTATTGGTTGCCCAATTCTGGTGGAATCTGAGCAGCATGTAATTAGAAAGAAACATAAAAACAGCTAAAAATATAAAATCAGACAAATGGCCCAAACTAACATTATAAATAACTAAAATGAAACCAAACAAGAAAATCAAGAAAACAGGAGACTGAAACAAATCAAACAAACAAATCCAGGTGTGACACCAAAGCCAGGTTTCGAAAGGTCTCTGGAACCCAAAGAGAGAGGGGACCATACTGATCTTTGGGGGAATGCTGTTCCAGAGGGTGGCCACTTTTAATATCAAAAAAGTGTCTTTCTGTTTTCTCATAGAAGGGTTGTTGCAAACATTATGATAGCAATAGTTTTGTTCTCCAGCATAACATGTTTATGTGTATATTGTAACCAAAGGTATCTCAATTAAATGGTATCTTTGATTCCATCGTCACAAAACAATTAGTTAAAAATGATTGAAACAGCTTCATCCTCTCCAAATATGGGGAAAGGCCAATGGATTCTGTCACACAGGGATTGACACAATATCCAAATAGTATTTCCTAGCCATCTCCCTTTTTAATGGGAACATTCAAGTCAGTCATATACCATAGAAGAGATCCCTTCTTCCTCTTCCTCCTGAATCCGTTTCACAGGCTTTAAGAGATGCTGAAGATGCTTATTGTGTCGAGAAAGCTAAAATATAGAGAACAACATATGCAGATTAACAATGGTATAGAACTTGATTGTTGTCTCTATTTTTTTAGAGGATTAAAACTTCCTTGAACTGAATCCTAAATTTCCAAAATTACTGCATTATAATGCAATCAACTATATCAATTCTCTTCTAAAACATGGTCTATTGCCATGATGGTGAATCTATGGCATTCATGCCACAGGTGGCACACAGAGCCATATCAGTGGGCACACGAGCTCAGCTCTGGCACACATGCATGTGTTGGCCAGCTAATTTTTTGGTCTTCTGGGCCCACCAGAAGTTGGGAAATAGATTGTTTTTGTCCTCCAGAGGGCCTCTGGGGGAGGGGGAGGCCATTTTCGCCTCCACCAAGCTTCTAGAAAGGGTCTGGAGCCTGGGGAGATCAAAACAGGGACCTTCCAATCCAACTGGAAATTGGGAAACAAACCGTTTTTGGCCTCCGGAGGGTCTCTGGGGGGTGGGGAAGGCATTTTTTGCCCTCCCCAGGCTCCTAGAAAGGGTCTGGAGCCTGGGGAGGGTGAAAACTGGGTCCATTATGCAATCGCATGCCAAAAGCGGGGGTCACACAGGGGGGGTGTCACACACACATATGTAGGTGGGGGCACATAGAATTATGAGGGTGGGCACACGTGTGCACAACATCCCCGCACTCCCCCCACTTTTGGCACGCGATGGCAAAAAGGTTAGTCATCACTGGTCTATTGTATGGACTGTTCATTTAAACCATGTCCAGTTTAATTGTTAACTTTCCACTGGATTCTAAGGATGATTTAGGCATGATAATTACAATAGGATAATGACTTTCTCTAGGTATTTCTCATTGTGGGGTGAGTTATACTTAGAACTCATATAAACAAATAAATGTCCCACTTGCTTTTCTCTTTTTTTTTCTTTTCTATGCTGTGACAACTACATCTACCTTAATAAGTTACATCCTTGTTCTTTGCTGAATAATTAGGATTATGAGATACTGTAAGATTACAAGACAACACAACAGAACATAATCACACAAAATTATCTGAAAAAAACCTGTCATACTATGAGTAAATATTTAGGAAGGGTTATATACTCAACACTTAATGATCAATCATTTTGGGAAGCTGAAAGAAAACAAGAACTCCCAACCCTTTCCTTCTGAAGAAAGTAAATTATAACTTATCTATTGATCGAGATTGAAGCGCTAGCCAAATTGCAAATTAAGCTAAAATTTTCCTATGATGGCTTTAATTAAACATTTAATTAATCTGTACAGGCCATTCAGTGTAATAAATGTGGGAGAAAGACCCCTTTCTAATTTATCATACCAAAGCACTACAGCACAACAAGACAGAGAGAGAAATTTATAGTAAGTAATAAATAAATCTATGATACCTGTAAAGCCAAAATATAGATGTTGTGTCCAACTTCCCGAGGAGAAATCTCAGAGTTTTCACATTCCTCTTCTTCAATGTAGGCTGTCTTAATGACATCAACCTGCAAAATAAGGTACAGAAAATCAAAATTGGGTGCAGCAAGGACTGTACTATAATGACTTCATATAAACAGGATGTAACAATGTATGGTAAAGTTGTCATATAAACATAGACCTACAATTTACTATGGGATTTGATATTATATGAATTTCAATTCATTCTAAATAAAAATATTGTTCTCGTTTGGAAATACTAAAATTTTCAGATGAAAGAAATTAGGCCTGATTAGAACTTGCAGAAGTCTTATGGTAGAATTAATGCATTAAACAATTCCTTATTGCATCTATATGGTTGCCCTTTCCTTTCTAAAGTTGACAAATTCAAATTTTCCAAACTAATCATTTATACCATTCTGATCCTTACTGAACATTTCCAAATACTTGGAAGAGTTTAATATAGTGCTATTAATATTTTTTAACTACTGACTGGGGATGTATAAATCAGTCCATATGTGATTCATGCCAGCTTCACATGTATTATTTAATCATTAATCTGTTTTCTCAGAAATGTGTAATATTCTATGATTTTTGTAAAAATAAAATCATATTTTATATATTTTTATGTGACTTTATCTCATAGTATATGATTATTTTCCAAATATTCACATTTCATCTACTCCTTCAAAATATGCATAATAGTATGCAATTTTTTAGATGAGAAATATTTTAAAACAGATATTAAGAGACAGCAAAAATTATATAGTCACCTATGTTTCAACAGATTATATATTTTATTTGAAATGAAATCTATGAAGGGTTTTTCTAGTATCCCAACTACTTTTAACACCCTTATTCTTGAATTAGCTGAAACAGTACCATGAGTTCCCTATGGTTGATAAATCTCTTAAGATTTTCAGTTGATTTTGTCAATGAAAAAAAAGGCTGATATCATGATTTAAAAAGTTTTCAATGAGGGTATATCCATCTATCACAATGAAGGTTTATATTGAAACAAAAAACTATGAGGGTTTACTTCAGTCTGGTATAATAGATATCTCCAAGAGTGAAAAAGTACCCCCATTCCAATTTTTAGATGCCATCTTTAACTTAACAATTTAAAATAGAATAGAATAGAATAGAATAGAATAGAATAGAATAGAATAGAATAGAATAGAATAAACAGAGTTGGAAAGAGCCTTGGAGGTCTTCTAGTCCAACTCCCTGCCTAGGCAGGAAACCACACACCACTTCAGAAAAATGGTTATCCAACATCTTCTTTAAAACTTCCAGTGTTGGAGCATTCACAACAAATTGTTTCACTGATGTTCTCACTATCAGGAAATTTCTCCTCAGTTCTAAGTTGCTTCTCTCCTTGATTAGTTTCCACCCATTGCTTCTTGTTCTACCCTCAGGTACTTTGGAGAATAGTTTAACTCCCTCTTCTTTGTGGCAACCCGAGATATTAGAACACTGCTATCATGTCTCCCCTAGTCCTTCTTTTCATTAAACTGGACATACCCAGTTCCTGCAACCGTTTTTCATATGATTTAGCCTCCAGTCCCTTAATTATCTTTATTGCTCTTCTCTGCATTCTTTCTAGATTCTCAATATCTTTTTTACATCATGGTGACCAAAACTGAATGCAGTATTCCAAGTGTGGCCTTACTAAGGCATTATAAAGTGGTATTAACACTTCACATAATCTTGATTCTATCCCTCTGTTTATGTAGCCTAGAACTGTGTTGGCTTTTTGGGCAGCTGCTGCACACTGCTGGCTCATATTTAAATGGTTGTCCACTAGGACTCCAAGATCCCTCTCACAGTTACTACTATTGAGCAAGGTACCACCTATACTGTACTGGTGCATTTTATTTTTCTTGCCTAAATAGCAACCATGCAGCTCTAACAAGTCAAAAAAATTCTATGGAGATTCTCAATCATCCAAGTCATGGTTGACTCAAAAGTGATTTTTTAAGAGGCAACTGGATTTTCTGGTTTTTCTTTGAAGATGTTTCACTTCTCATCCAAGAAGCTTCTTCACCTCTGACTGGATGGTGGGAAATGGAAGGATTTATATTCCTTTTTTCATTGAGAAGTTGGAGTCCTGCAGGAACTTCCTGTCCTGTGTCCCTTTACTATTGAACACAGATGGAGGTGGTTAAGGAGGAGTCTGTGTTGTCTGCATCTCAAACTGAAATGCAAATGAGTCCTGTAGTCTGCAATTTTTCTGGAACTTCATTCATACTCCCGCACCATTTGAAGAGTGCTCATCCCAAAATGCACAGCTAAACTTCTATGGAGATTCTCAGTCATCCAGGTCATGACTGTCCCACAGGTGCTTTTTCAAGAGGCAACTGGGCTTTCTGTTTTTTCTTGGAAGAAAAAGGAGGAGTATCAATCCTTCCATTCCCTACCATCCAGTCAGAACTGAAGAAGCTTCTTGGATGAGAAGCAAAATGTCTTCAAAGAAAAAACAGAAAGTCCAGTTGCCTCTTGAAAAAGCACCTTTGGGAAAAGTCAAAAAAATATTAACAACATTGTACACAAAGAAATACAAAATGTTGCTAAGGAATTATATTCCTGTTGATTTTTAACTTTCTAAGGGATCTTCAATGAACTCCAGATGCCTTCCCTTTTAAAAAAAATATATTAAAATTTCAAAAACAGTGAATACTAAAATTCCTAAACCGCTGTGTCTTCCTTACCAATTCCTGGGGACGGAGGCTGATGAGAATCCGCTCAGCATTCTCGCTGTCGTGCCTGCTCTCCATCAGGGCTAGCAAAAGTTTGGAGGCATTATCCTGATAAAAAGACAGCAGACATGTATTGAAAGCACATGGATACTGAAATAATCCAACTTAACCTATTCCGTAAAAAAAAAAAACCACCCTTCTTTTATTAAGATATTTTGTAATACAAATTCTGAATCAGCACATAAAGGTGAAGTTTAGACAAAATTCCTGCAATAGGCTTTACATAAATGCCATACTTCAATGATAGAGCATGTACTGTACAGGTAATCCTTGACTTATGACCACAGCTGAGCCCCAAATTTCCATTGCCAAGCAAAACAGTTGCTAAGTGAGTTTTGTCCCATTTTACGACCTTTCTTGCCACAGTTGTTAAATGTACCCCTGCAGTTGTGAGGTTAGTAACACGGTTGTGAAGTGAATCTGGCTTCCCCATTGACTTTGCTTGTCAGAAGGTCACAAAAAGGTGACCACATGACCACATGACCCCAGGACACTGCAGCCATCATAAATAAAGGCCAGTTATCAAGCATCCGAATTTTGATCACATGACCATGGGGTGCTGTAATGGTCATGTGAAAAAATGGTCATAAGCTCACTTTTTTCAGTGCCGTTGTAACTGAACCATCGGTAAACAAATAGTTGTTAAGTCAAGGACTACTTGTATGTGGTCCTTGGTTAAATGCATAGCCCCTCCTGTTAAAAAGGAGTATCAAGGCTGAACGTTATTACCAATGTAAGGAAATAATTCTGCATTAGACAGAAGAATAGTCTTATGTGTTCACATTATTTTATCACCTCTTCACACTCATAGCTTGCTTCCAATTTATATTCGGATAAATGGATATGAATAAATATGTAAATAAAAAGGGAAACAAGCATACTGTTGCAAGAAAAAGTATGTGAACCCCTTGGGATTATGTGGAGTTTTGCATGAATTGGTCATAAAATGTGCTCTGAA